AACCCAGTAGTTGGATCGTTTGTTTCAACAGTGCCCAACTTACCCTGTCAAAGGCTTTTTCAGCATCAATGGCCAGAAGGGCACTGTCGATTTTGTGTATTTGCGCCCAGTGGATAAGATTAATGATTTTTGTGGTATTATTTTTTGCTTCCCGGTGCGGGACAAAGCCAGCCTGGTCTTGGTGAATGAGACCCGGGAGCAAAGGTTTCAGTCTAGTGGCCATGATTTTCGTAAGGATTTTCATGTCAATATTTATCAATGATATGGGCCTGTAGCTGCCACACGAGGTCAGATCTTTTCCCGGCTTCAGTATCAGGGTAATGGTGGCTTCTAATACAGAACGGGGAATACAGGCCGACAGGTTTCGAGCATTGAATGCGTCAATAAAAGGTTGTGCTAGAATTGGTGCCATTAATTTGTAATATTTCCCAGTGTAACCTTCTGGGCCTGGGCTTTTGCCTATAGGGATGGTCTTAATAACTTGGAGGAATTCGTCCACTGTGATAGGGTCATCTAGGAACGCCATGTCATTGGGAGGGAGGGTGCGCTTGATTCTGGGTGCTAGGAAATCTATTATGTCTTGGGGTGAAGGTGTGGCTGATTTCAGGTTGTATAGTTCGGTGTAGAATTTATGAAATGCTCCCATTATGTCTGGAATGTGGCGGGTTATCCTGCCTGTTTCAGCTCTAATTTCGGAGATGAAGGTAGATTGTCATTCTTTCTGTAACGACTGTGCTAAGAGTTTCCCTGCCTTGCCTCCCTGCATATAGTAGGTGCTTTTTATAAGTGACATTTTCCGTTTGGCATGGAGGGTCAATGTCGCATTTAGTTCAGTCCGTTGTGGATGTGTCATGATGTTTACATTCTAGGGTTTTGATTTCCTTAGTGTGTCGGGTGATAGACCGTTCCCTCTTACTTTTCAAATTGGACGCTATTCGGATGAGTTCCCCTCTGAGGACTGCTTTGTGGGCTTGCCAAGTCATTATGGGAGTAGTGTCCGGGTTGGTGTTTTCTCTAAAGTAGTTAGAGGCCATCTCCCTTATTTGTGCAAGGGTGTCAGGGGCGTTTAAGATCAGGTCATTTAGCTTCCATTGTGCGGAGGGATTGGGTAGGGATGGTATGGTCAATGTGAGAGTGAGTGGAGCGTGGTCAGACCACGTGATTGGTCCATATGAGGACGTCTGTATCAGGGGCAGGTGTCTATGTTGAAGGAAGAAAGAGCCTATACGGGAATAGGTTCCCCTAGGGCAGTGATGGCGAACCTTTTTGAGCCCGAGTGCCCAAACCGCAATACATGCCAACATTTTTTCTCCTCAAAGTGCCAACACGGCAATTAAACCCAAATACTGAGGTTTAAGTTTAGAAAAAAACAACTCGTACTGTTGTCCGAACTAATAACTTTTGTTTTAAAAGAACACAGAGAGTTCAATGATACAAATTTTAAATAATGATATAAATAGATAAAATTAAGCTTATATTTATTAGTATCTCCAACAAATGCAATACATACACAGACAGACTGCTGAATACATACACACAGTCTGCTGAATACACACACACAAGACTGCTGAATACAGAGACTGATGAATACACATACAGACAGACTGCTGAGTACACACACACACACACACACACACAGATTGCTGAGTACACACACACACAGATTGCTGAGTACACACACACACAGACTGCTGAATACACACACACACAGACTGCTGAGTACACACACACATAGACTGCTGAGTACACACACACACACTGCTGAATACACACACACTGCTGAATACACACACAGACTGCTGAGTACACACACACACAGACTGCTGAGTACACACACACACACAGACTGCTGAGTACACACAGACTGCTGAGTACACACAGACTGCTGAGTACACACACACAGTCCGCTGAATACACGCAAACACACACAGACTGCTGAATACACGCACACACACACACTACTGAATACACACATACTGCATTGAGGTGGGGGGTGCGTGTGTGTGTGAGTGTTGTATGTGAGGGGTGCTGTGTGTGTGTGGGGGGGGGTGCTGTGTGTGTGTGCGCTATATGTAAGGAAGGGTAGCTGGAGGGGTAGGGCTGTGAGGGTAGGGGTACTGCTGGGAGGAGTAGAGGTACTGTGTGAGGTAGGAGTACTGCTGGGAGTGTTGGGGAGTACACTGTGTGGGGGGGTAGGGGTACTACTGGGAGGTAGGGGATTACTACTAGAAGGAGGTAGGGGTGCTACTGGGGGTAGGGGTTGCTGCTAGGGAGGGGTAAAGGGTGCTGCTTTTAAGGAGGTAGGGGTTACTGCTGCTGAGTGCAGGAGTTACTGGGGAGTAGGGTTACTGCTGGGGGGTGGGGGTTACTGCTGGGGGTAGGAGTTCACTGGGAGGGGAGGGGTTACTGCTGGGGAGGGTAGGGGTTACTGCTGGGGGGTTAGGGGGTACTGCTGGGGGAGGTAGGGGTTACTGCTGGGGGAGTAGGGGTTACTGCTGGGGGGGTAAGGGTGCTGTGTCAGTATACCCCCCCTCCCTCCTTCTTACCTTTAATGAAGTGGGGGGGGGGACAGCGATCCCTGGTGGTCCGGTGGTGGTAAGCACTGCAGGGGGAGGGCTCCAGGAAGCAGCTCCCCTGTCCTCCCGCAATGCTGTGTGGAGCGTTGCCATGGTAACGCGCGGCAACGCTCCACACAGCATCGCGCGGGAGGACAGGGGAGCTGCTTCCTGGAGCCCTCCCCCTGCCTCCCGACCCGGAAGCAGAGTAGGCGCCTGCCGTTTCGGGCAGGCAGGTGCCTACTCTGCATTGATGGCGAACCTGTGGCCGCGTGCCCACAGAAAGGGCCTGGCGTGCCACCTGTGGCACGCGTGCCATAGGTTCGCCATCACTGCCCTAGGGGGTGAGAAGAAAGAGTAATCCTTCTTCGTAGGGTGAATTGCTCTCCAAACGTCATAGAGTTGAGCGTCGTAAAGAATGTTTTTCATCTGCAATCTTGATTGGGATTGGTATTTGTGAGAGGTAGTAGTAGAGCCTAGGGCCCCGTCTAGAGAGGTGTTAATATCTCCACCCAGGATAATTATTCCTTCGTGAAATAGCGATAGTTTACTTAAAATTTTTTTGAGGGTTTGGGATTGTTTCTTATTGGGTAAGTAGATGTTGGCCAGCGTGATTTGGGTGTTTCCTAACTTTCCTTTTACAAAAAGGAATCTGCCTGAATCATCTAGTTGTTGGTCTTGGAAAGTGAATTGAGTTTGGTGATTAATAAGTATGGCTACCCCTCGTGCCTTTGCTTCTGAGTAATGGCTGAAGTACCCTCTTGGGAAGTCCCTGTTTTGCAGTTTAGGAGGTGTATTTTTACGGAAGTGGGTTTCTTGCACAAAAACGATATGTGCTTTGTGTCTACTGAAGTCTGTTAGGGCCATAGATCTCTTCTCTGGGGTATTGAGGCCCCTGGCATTTTGCGTAAGGAGTGTTATGGTGGCCATCTCTATAAAGTAATATGAGATGTGTCGAGAGATGGAAAGTCAATAGAGAGTGTGTGTGCTGTACCGTGTCAAGTGTGGCCTCTGGGTGTACTGTACTATATGCAGTATCTCTGCACGTATGTAAAGTGTCAGTGGATCGGTGTATGTCTTGTGCAGGTTTAAATTACCTTGTCTCGAGTTTAGCCTGTGTGTGGTGAGGAGGGGAGGAGGAGATGGCCCGCCTGGATAATTCAGGGAGGCCTATCCCGCTGCAGGAGCCCCCGTCTGGGAAGAGTAACGGAGTTGGTGGCTGGGAGCTAACTGGCTTATAGTCGTGTGAGGTAGGTGATTCTTGGTCGGTCTAGTCTGAACCTTGGAAGAAATAGTATAAAACACAAAATGTTTGCAGTTAGAAAGTCAAAACAGTAGACAATAACAATCGTTATAAGACAATGACAAAAATCTCTTGGCCCTCGGTGAGTACCCACTCGTCGGTTCTTGTGTGACTAGGTTAGTGTGGCTCAAGAGCTAGTGTCTCTCTGTGTCCCTGCTTCTCCACCTGCCCCGTGGAACAGGTGGAAGATCAGTTGTGTATAACCGGAATGGGGATATGCCCCGTGTAGTATCCACACATAGGTGGGTGTAATGTTGTCCCGGAAGGGGAGTCTGGTTCTATCTCGGCGCAAGAGATAAAACTGAATATAAAGTGAGGTTGTGTGGTCTTGGAATGCGCCTGAGACCCGGGACTTATTAATCCTAATAGATTAAGAACTCGTTAGGAGAACTCGTCTGTGTAACCAAATATAGGTATCTAGTTGATGGGGAAAAGGAGAGGATGCAACTTGTGTCTTTTTTTTTTTCTCTGTAATATATGAAATGAGATTTGGAACAGCACCTTCTGAGGACGGCTTCTGGATCGCAGGGTCAGATCTTGTAAGTTAGGATGGGCCTAGCATGTAATGTGTCCTAGTGGGGTGCATGTGGCTATTGATCTCGGCTACATTCGGCTCGTTACGGTCAACCTTTGTGACCCTGATTTATTAGGAGGGGGTAACCCTTTCCTTGTGTCGTAGGTTGATGTGCGTCTGGTGTTGTTGTTTCTTAGAGGCTAATTATAACTTAGAAAAAAAATGTAAAGCAGTAGTATAGGTAGGTTGGTAATCAATATGAATCTTATCTAGGGCTAGAGTGAAAGAAACGTCCCACCAGTAACAATGTACATATTTTTAGATGGAGCATACTTGCCCTCCCAACAGGTAGGGAGTATGGAATGATGTCCGTTGCCTGGTGTTGGGGTCTATGGAGATATGAGCATCAGTCCCTTATATCCTGTGGTGTTTTGAGGCCGCTTTCCCATTCAGCCGTCTCTTGGATCAAAGGACTCTCATTATCTGTTGGCGTCAGAAGGACTTGTGAGTATTCTGTGAGAGGAAGGAAATATAAAGGTCCTCTGAAGACTTCATCCGGGTTTAGGTGCTGTCCTTGTAGTAAGTCTTTGTGTCCGTGTGTTAGGGTGCTCGGTCTAGAGAGAGCATCTTAGTCGTCAGTGGTAATTCGCTTGCGGGCAGGGGTGCTGGGCTGTCTCCCCCGTCTTGCCTGTGGTGAGGTGATCCTGGTGTAATTTCTTCTCATTTTCGCAGGAGTAACCCATTTCTGTCGTTGGGACATTTGTACGTTGTCCTGGTGAGGTATCGGGTAGTTCCAGTCTATTATGATCGTGTCTGGAAGCTCCAGAGCCCGGAGGAAGGGAGGGACATCTAGAATAGAGGCTATGTGGATGATGTTGCCCTTATAGTTTACTATCAGGGCAAAGGGGAAACCCCAGCGATATTTAATGCTCCTGTTGCGTAGGAGCTCAGTAATAGGCTTGAGAGCTCGTCTGGCCTGTAGGGTGTACCAGGAGAGGTCGGGGTAAATCTGTATGGGATTGCCATGATATAGTAGTGGCTGTGAGGTGTCCCTTAGTGCTCTCATTACCCCGTTCTTTGTTTCAGAATAATGCAATCTACAAATGATGTCTCTTGGAGAGTCTTGGGAGATACCCTTGGAGCGCAAGGAGCGATGTGCCCTGTCCAGTAGCAGGAGGTTGGCAGGAATGTCTTGTACCAATAGGCCTCCATGTCTCGCTCGGTGCTATCTCTCAGGAAACGGGTGAGAATCCCCGATTTGACCGTTTGGGTTTTCCCCGGGTCCCCTGCATCTGCTGATGCTTTTTCTGGTTACCCATGTTCCGCGTAGGTCTCCGATTGCAGTGACATACGTATATATATATATATATATATATATATATATATATATATATTAATTCTACATATATATTTATGTAATAATTTTACATAATTGGGTATCTTAATTAATTACAATTAGCGGGACCTGCCTGACAACCCATGCCGAAAGTAAAGGGAATTTAATTTGCTAGCACTATATTTAACCCTATAACTTTCCAAGACACCATATGACCTGTACATGGGGGGTACTGTTCTACTCGGGGGACTTCGCTGAACACAAATATTGTGTTAGTGTTTCGAAACAGTAAAATGTATTACAACAATGATATCGCCAGTAAAAGTGACTTTTTTTGCATTTTTCACGCACAAACAGTACTTACACGGACGATATTATTCCTGCGATACTTTTTACTGTTTTGAAACACAAATATTTGTGTTCAGCGAAGTCTCCCGAGTACAACAGTACCCCTCATGTACAGGTTTAATGGTGTTTTCAAAAGTTACAGCGTCAAATATAAGGCTTGTGTTTCATTTTTTTCACATTAAAATTTGCCAGATTGGGTACGTTGCCTTTGAGACCCTATGGTAGCCCAAGATTGAAAATTACCCCTATGATGGCATACCATTTGCAATAGTAGACAACCCAAGGTATTGCAAACGGGGTATGTCCAGTCTTTTTTAGTAGCCACTTAGTCACAAACACTGGCCAAAATTGGCGTTTTTTGCATTTTTCACACACAAACAAATACTAAGGCTAACTTTGGCCAGTGTTTGTGACCAAATGGCTACTAAAAAAGACTGGACATACCCCATTTGCAATACCTTGGGTTGTCTACTATTGCAAATGGTATGCAATTATGGGTGTAAATTTAATTCCTGGGCTACTATAAAGTCCCAAAGGCAACGTAACCAATCTGGCGAATTTCAATTTCAAATGTAACGTGCTATATTTGACCCTGTAACTTCCCAAAACGCCATAAAACCTGTACATAGGGGGTACTGTTTTACACGTGAGACTTTGCTGAATACAAATATGTGTATTTTATTGCAGTAAAAGCAAACAGTATTATGACATTGACAGTTAAAATGTCATGTAGAACTAAAAAAATTTAAAAAATCTTATTTTCTCCCATTTTTTTCATATTAAATTATGTTTCATAGCTAAATATTTGATATTAAATGAAAGCCCTGTTTTCCCTGAATAAAATGATATATAATAAGGGTGGGTGCATTTACTATGAAAGAGGTGAATTACGGTTGGACAGACATGTAGCGCAAATGCCAGGTTTTGTTTACATTTTGTTTAGTTCACAACGTGTACATTTGGCTCCGTCCTTAAGGGGTTAATTATATAAGATCTCTCCTTTGCACCTGGCGAGTAAACATAGAGAAAATATATAGAGAAGAGGAAACATTAAAAAGTATTTGTATTTGCAGAATTTCCTCTGGCTTTACTTGGACCGAACATGATTGTCATATGATTTGCCAAATGTTTAATATGATTTAATATTTTAATATCTAAAGGAAAACTGGTCATTACTTTAAAAAAAAAAAAAAAATAGCACACATTATAGGTGATTCTATGTTTTATTGAATGGTGTAAGTTAAAAACATCTGAACTGTGAGGACCTGGATACATTTGTAAACAAACCCCAGTAAAGTCAGAGACAGCTATTCAGACTGGAATATGTATAGATAATAAATATATGTTATCAGATGCAAAGGGGGACAGGGGAAACTTAGAGACAGGAATGCTGGTTAGTGGTTATTGTGTCTTATCCCCATTTAGCTTAAATAGTTACTCCTATGCTCTTTAGTTAAATTTGTTGTTAATTTAAATTAAAAAAAAAATTATAATGCCCTTTTGGGCATTATTCACTTGGTGTGTCTGCCTTATATTTAAATAAAAAATAAAAACAACTCTAATAAATAAGCATTAATGTAACTGGAATCCAACAATGGCCTTCCATGCCCCATTCGACACTCCTCTCTGCGCTCCAATCAAATGCTTCTCATAGAGAAGCAATTGATTGGACGGTTCTCACCGGATCGAGCTCTTATTACGGAGTATAAAGGTAGCATCTCACTAAGGTTGTCGACATTGTGCAGAGTTTCAGGCTTATGTCACGTGCGCGAAGTCCTGGACACAAAACTGCAGATTGCTCTGTATAGGCAGCTTTTAAAGTTGAAACACAGACTCCTACCACTATATCCACTTCTAAAAGCAGAAGTGGTCATGGTGTTTGGAGTAGACCTTGCTCAATAATAGACCTTGCTCAATGATATACACTCCCAATGTTCCTACTACTGGATTTTTGTTTTTTTCTGAGGACACGTTAGAGAAGCTGTGCTCTCGTCCCTGGTGGGTAAACGGTGAGGAGAGGTTATCTTACACAGTTCTGCAAAAAATGTCACTATATTAATTATCATAATAAAAGAGAATCGTCTTAGTAATAGCAAAGGCAGATTAACGCTAGATGAGAAATTAATGATTTGCAAAAAGTAGAAGGAAAGATGGCTCATACTTCACGCTTCAAAGGAAAGAAAGAGAATTACTGATTTGTGATTTGTAATTTGTATTTTTTTAGCAGTTTATTAAAATGTATTGTTTATACATTTATTATTTGTGCTAATAAATGCAACCTTTATTTGCTAAATTGTAATTATGGTTTATTTGTGTGGCTCTAGGTTTGGAATATGTACATAACTTGCTATCTTCACATATTTAAAACTTACCAGGAAAGGTTAAAGGATCTTAACATGTATAGCTTGGAGGAAAGACGAGACATGGGGGATATGATAGAAACATTTAAATATATAAAGGGAATCAACACAGTAAAGGAGGAGACTATGTTTAAAAGAAGAAAAACTACCACAACAAGAGGACATAGTCTTAAATTAGAGGGACAAAGGTTTAAAAATAAAATCAGGAAGTATTACTTTACTGAGAGGGTAGTGGATGCATGGAATAGGCTTCCAGCTGAAGTGGTAGAGGTTAACACAGTGAGGACGTTTAAGCATGCGTGGGATAGGCATGAAGCTATCCTAGATATAAGATAAGGCCAGGGACTAATGAAAGTATTTAGAAAATTGGGCAGACTAGATGGGCCGAATGGTTCTAATCTGCCGTCACATTCTATGTTTTATTGTTTGTATTTTGTTGATTTTGTTCGGGCTGACAGAGTTTGTCAAGTACTCCCCATGGTAACAATCAATGTATATACAGTCATGAGAAAAGGAAAGTACACCCTCTATGAATTTTGTTACATAAATCATGAAATGGTGTAATATGTTATGTGTTGTTCCTCTGAGGTTGTATTTACCGGATTTTAAGACCTGCTAAGGTACAGATGACTGTTACTATGTCCTGATATGTAAACAATAGCATTCAATGAGGGTGTACTTTCTTTTTCCCATGACTGTATATTTTACAGATATTTCCTTAATTTAGTTATGGTAAATGTTCTATATATTAAGTTCCAACTTATGTTTTTTGAATTTTTTTTTAAAATTAAGAAGCCTTTGTACTATCTGGTTACAGCATGCATTAAAATGCAGACTCGCCCGTTTGTTTTCTGCCAAATTGCAAATTCATCCGAATTTAGGCCGATCGCAGGGTTATTCACATTCCGTAACTCTGAAGCACCACATTGAGGTATAACCATACAAATGCCCTCACACAATGGACGAGCCTGTTTGTTTCATTTGTGAATCGGAGTTCTGTCTGTGGTGCCAAAATAGATCATTGATGGGGAAAAAAGACGGATTGGGGACAGTCAGTGAAAGTTGATTTTATTTATAGATCAAGTAAGAAGTGACCAACAATGGGAAGAAAAAAGGTGCATTAAAACCTATTTATAAATTACTGTTTATATTTAATAAATATATAATATATGGATGTAGATTATTATTATTCACTTCTCGCCATCTTATTCCCTCTAATTGCCTACTTTTAGACACTTGATATGTGAAGCAAATGGCAGAATAATGTGCCTATCAGTGTATTGAAAAAATACAAAATGTATATTGTGTATATTTTACAGTTTACTGACTGAACATTTCCGCAGCCTTATGGCTTGTAGGAATCGTCTTCCTAAATATTCTGTAAGGACACTATTTGGACGAACAGATCCAACACATGGACAGCAATCAGACTGCCCAAGCTATTTTTTTCTTTGTTTGTCTGGATGACGTGATTCACCACTTTTCTAATAAAATTATTTTATTTTTTTACTATATTATATGAGAATGTATAATATCCAGGGGATATTCATAACTCTCAGTCAAGAATGTAAAAATGCAAGCTATATATTTGGCCAACATGGCTACTGGATCTCAGCATGAGGGGAATCCAACAAGAACAGAGAGGGGTGGGGGGGGGGGGAATTTTATAATTGTATTTGCTTTTTGAACTCAAAAATGCACCAACTATTAAATATCCAAAGAAGGGATTTAAGGGAAATTAAGAGACGTAATTTTCTTAAAAAGTTGGATGTTATTGTGTTCTACAAGCAGAAAGGTACTTTGTATACTCACAATGTTATTTACTAAGGTGAGAATTTAAAGTGAATGTCAACTTCAAGATACAGCTGCTTTGGACTTAACTTAAATTCAGTTGAATTCACTTTAGATTCACAAACCGGTGCATGTATACAAAATTCCTTTCTGAATGCAGAACGCAAGAACAATCCACTTTTTAAAGAACAGTGATTTACAGATTTATTATCATCTAGATTTACCAATGCCGTGTCCTTGATATGAATTATTATGAGGTTTTCTAGATCAGATTAATTGCTTCTTCTCATTAACTTCTTTAAAGGTATTTATGAAGGGAGTATTGCAGGTGGAATCTACAAGGATTAACCTTTTATGTGATTTAAATTACAGAATGAATAAAGTAAAATTTAAGGGAGTAATGCTAAACATTAATTTAGTCTCAGGTTTCCATCATCCTCCGTAGAAGAAAAAAAAAATAAGCCTCTAGTTTCAATGGGAAGAT